CCAGCCCTCCAGCCCTGCCCTCCTCAGCCCTGGCTGCGCGGGCGCTGACCTGAAGGTTCCACTGCCTTCACTCTTCTGTGGTGGCGGTGGGGCCACGGCACGATGCCTGCTCTGGGACATGAGGAGAAGGTATGGCTTCGCGGAAGGAGAAAAAGCTGTGCAGCACGACGTCCTCGATCCACCGGTCGGCCAGCCGGGACCCGAAAGGAGCGCTCCTGCGCCGCCGCCGATGCTACTTCCCCGCCTCCCACTCTCCCAACCTTCTCCGCTCTCGTCCCTGTTGCAAGGGGGCGGGGCCAGGCTCCAAGCCACGCCTCCCTGTGTCTCCTGGTTCGCTGCTTTGCTCTGCTCCTGGCTGCGGTTTTCCAGATCCCGGATCTTCTCAGTCTTTCTCTCAGCCCCTCCCTGCGTACAGCTCCGAGTCCTTCTCGTCACCTGGCCCTCTGGCTTAGCCCACAGGAACTCGAGTTCTTTGTCCTTACAAGGAGACTGTTTCTTTTCCAGAGAGATGGCGTGTCGGGACGTGCTCAGGGTCTCTGATGCTTGAAGCTCACAATTTGCCCCCCTGTCTCCAGCATTGGAGTCGAGTCATCTTAAGAAAAAGATTGCACAATTCCGAATAGAAAATTGCTAGGGTTTCTGCTTAAGGCCTGACCCCGACCCTTGGGAAACGAGCCGCGTGGTAGGGGCGCTGTGGATGCTCCAGGCTTTCAAACCCTGCCTTGAGAGGCTTGCGGACGTGTCGGGAGACCCCTCCTAACAATCACTTAGCGGCTCCTAGGCTTTGGTCGCTTGTAAAGCAGATTCCAATAAGGCACGTTAAATATAAACAGGCTATTCTTGGGACCAGATTCCAATTGATGCAGTTTCTGCAGACCTTTTTGTGGATGGTAATTTTGTTTGTCATGCCGCTTCTCTAGGAGTTTGTGATATACTTGCAGACGTGACTGTCTGTGCCTATTTTGTATTCTGGAAGATTGCGCAATGCTATTCTCACAAAGGGACATTATTAAAAGCCATTTATTTTTTACGTCGCATACGAGTCCTGCATACTTGAAAGCGGGTGAAATGTCCAGAATTTTATCGAATGTATATTCATTTGAATTAAGCCTGTTCTTTCTCCCTCCTCCAGTACCTCTTTGTTATTATGCATGTATTCGAATAGCTTTACTATTCACTAAAGTTATATTTTAATGAATTTTGTAAGTATCATAAGCACCACCATAGCCACTATTTCAAAATACGTCAAAATCCACATGACAATCATGGCGATGTAATAGTTCAACACCCAGGTTTATTTATAAATTTTATTTTTAGTCACAAATATGGTTTATACGTTTATATGTAGTGTGGCTTTCATGGAGTATTTTTAAAAGATTGACATTCTATTGTTTTTCTAGATACTATGAATTCATGTTTAGTATTAGGTACTTGGGGTTTTAAGCATAAACTTGATATTGAGCCCATTTCGACTCATGGCAACCCCATACCGACAGAGTAGAACTAGCTCATGGGGTTTCCAACCTTGTAGGATGAACTCTAGACTGCTGAAAACGTAACAATTCAAACCCACCAACCTCTCTTGTCTCCGAAGCCCTATACAGGGTCGCCATGAGCAGGAATTGACTTGCTAGCAGTGGGTTTAAAAAAAATCTTTACAGAAGCAGACTCCCACATTTTCTCCCCCTAGTGACTGGTTAGTTTAAACCGCTGATCTTTCATGGCATAATTACCGTGAGATAGCATACACGAAGGAAAATTAATGAAATGCTGAAGCAATGGGCTATGTATCGTAAGAACGCAAATCAACTTTGTTGCCAAAATTGGATGAAGGAATTCCTTTTGTACTAGGTCCATTGTGTTCAGGACTAATGTCAGTGCCCAAATGGCATTGTTCTCTAGAGAGCTATAAATATGCTCTTCTTAAAACTAGTCCATTGCTAAACCACTATGAGCTATAACCCTGATCGAGAACATTGGTAGTATTTTAAATTAATAGTTTTCTGTATATATTTTAGTGTTGCAGACTGCCATTTGGAATTAAATTTACTTTTAGTATATCATTTTACACCTTTGATCTATAATTCATTACCTAAGCTCATGCAGTCAGGCAGTGTTGTGAATTCTACCCAGTTAAACGACTCGGTGAAAACCGTGTTTTGGATTTCTAATGAATATAATTATATTTTGACTCATGTAAGGCTTAATTTTGTGTCTGATTTTCTTCTTTGGAAATATGGATTTGTTATCTGAAGGTTGCAGTTGACGTTTTGATATAATATTAATATGTTTGCTGCTGCCACCAAGAGCTTTGTCAAGCAAGTTGGAGATGGAGGGAGATTAGTTCCTGTTCCAAGCCTCAGTGAAGCTGACAAATACCAGCCCCTAAGTCTGGTGGTGAAAAAGAAGCGATGCTTTCTGTTTCCTAGATATAAATTTACCTCAACACCTTTTACATTGAAAGATATTCTCATAGGGGACAGAGAAATTTCAGCTGGTAAGTTCAAATATCTATTTGGGAGTAACTACTCATTCAACTGAATTATTGGTATCCTAAGCATAGGCTGTATATACTACTAACTTAAGTAATACTAGTGATATTTTCATTGGTAAAAGCAACTTTTATTGCAATAGTAGTAATAACACTTAGACTAACAATGCTTGGAATTTATATAAGTTATCAACTCTCATATTGGTTGAATAACTTTCAAATCTTATCAATTATATTCTAGATTGCTTTAATCAAATTAATGTAAAGTATAAAACAATTTATAAACTGGTATATTATTCTATTTATCTCACAGAGTCAAATAGGTATGGGAGAATAAATCATTTGTTGAAATTCAGTTATTACAATTGGTAAACTAAAAGTTATGATCAGTTGACATTTTAACAAATTATTTCTTATAAACACTTGTAGATCTTTATGCTTAAGAAGTTCCCTTGACTGAAGAGGGGATTGAAGTTCATTTTAAGAATTCTGGCTGTTGGTTTCTTTTTGTTGCCAAATTAATTGAATTGCTATTTTAATTCTTGGTTTAAATTGTTGCTCTTGTTAATATTTGGGGATTTGAGTCTTAAATTCTGAATTGACACATTACTAGATACAATTTATTTTAGACAATTAAATGCATTTAAAATATACTAATTTCCTTTTTAAAAGGGATTTCATCTTATCAGTTACTGAATTATGAAGATGAGTCAGATGTTTCACTTTATGGAAGGCGAGGCAACCATATTGTGAATGATGTGGGGATTAATGTTACTGGATCAGATTCTATTGCAGTCAAAGCTTCATTTGGTGTAGTAACCAAACATGAAGTGGAAGTATCAACATTGCTCAAGGAAATTACAACACGGTCAGTATAATAATCCTTAATACATTCTAGTGCTTCCATTAAACGTTTTAACTACACAAACTGTCCTATAAAGAATTAAAAATTTTTGGAATTAGATTTTACTAGTGTAGTTTTGTTTTTTGTGTTTTTTTAAAAAAATATCACAAACTGGTAGTATAGCCAAACTTTGGATAAAGATGGATGTCGAAAATAATTTGGTTTCGGGAGTTTACATTTGTTCCACAAAATTGCTTTGGCTCTGTACACATTTGCTAAATTATGAAACTGAAAGAATATAGCAATCTGCTTGCATGTAAAAGTTGAACAGTGGATCAGGAGGACCATAGAAGAATTGATGCATTTGAATTATGGTGATGGAGAAGAATATTAAAGGTACCATGGACTGCCAGAAGAACAAACAAATCTATGTTGGAAGAAGTACAACCAGAATGCTCCTTAAAAGCCAAGATGACCAGATTTTGTCTCTTATACTTTGGACATATTATCAGAAGGACAAGTTCCTCAAGAAGGTCATCATGCTTGGTAAAGTGGAGGGTCAGTGTAAAGAAGAAAGACTTCCAAAGAGATGGATTGGCATAGTGGCAGCAGCAGTGGGCTCAAGCATAACAGCAATTGTGAGGGTGGCGCAGCACCAGGTAGTGTTTCATACTGTTGTACATACGGTCACTATGAGTTGGATAAGAGAGCAGCAACCTGCCACAAATACAAGTAGGAATATAATTCAGTTTCGCTGATAAGACTCATCACTTGTACAACCCTTATCCCTATGTTTTTCATAATTATTCTATCACCATATAAACTCAGTGCCCTCCCTGCAAAAGCTCCTTTTTTCTCCCTCCTTCCCTTCTCTGATAGCCACTAATAAGCATTGATTTCTATATACAAAGATAGGTAAAAAAAAAAAAAAAAAAATTACTACTGAGTTTCTAGTACATAGACAGGTTTATTCCAGACAAAAAGTGTTTAAACATGTCTCTATCATCAGTGAATGGCTGTAGAGAAATATTTTCAGTAATATACTTATCTTAGTCTCTGTAGGAGTCCTGGTGTGGCACTGTAGGATAAACACTGGTCTGCTAACCACCAGAGCAACTGGTGGGATTGAATGCCAACCTTGTAGTTAGCAGTCCAGTGCTTATCCTACAGTGTCTACATAGAGTCGCTATGAGTCAGAACCAACTGGAAAGCACTAACAACAGCTGTCTCCTTAGGGAGCTCTTGGGGGGGAGGGGAAAGATCCAACTAAAGCAGTGGCTTCTCAGGACATCTGTGGGTCAGTTAAATTCAAGGCAGAGAGGTCAACAAACAAGGTTATGGTGACTGATTTTTGGAATTCCAAAGGAATAATCTTTTTTTTCCTTTGAAATCTACCAGTAAGTTCTGTAACTACACTATTCCCTCTTTCTACATTGCGGATTTAAAAAGTATATATATATTGTAAATTAATATCTCTGGTTCCTTTTTCAGTCTTATAGATGTGCTTTACTTTGGACAATTTTATATCTGGGTTAAGGAGCCCTGGTAACGTAAAGGATCGTGCAAGCTGGGCTGCTAACCATAAGGTTGAATCTACCAGCCACTCCGCAAGAGAAAGATGAGGTTTTTTGCTTCTGTAAAGACTTACAGGCTCAGAAACCCTATACAGGGTCATGTTGAGTTGGAACCAACTCAGTGGCACACAACCACCATATGTTGTTGTTGCTAGGTGCCATCGAGTCAGATCCTGGACAAACCTCACTATTGTTGTCATGCTTGAGTCCATCAATGCTGCCACTTGGCCAATCCATCTCATTGGGGGTCTTCCTCTTTTTCT